CCGCGGCCCCCCCCAACGCCGCCTCCGGCAATGAAGCCGCCACGGCCGCCGCCACCGCGGCCACCGCCACGGCCACCACCACCCGGACCGCGGCGCAGCCCGCCGCCGGCTGGGATGCGTCTATCGCCGCCGCCACCCCCACCGCTAGGAAGGATATCGCCACCGCCATCACCACCCCCGCAGCCGCGGCCTCCGCCGTCGCCGCAGCTTGCCCTACCTCCGCCGTCCCCCTCCCCAAAGCCCCCCCCCTCACCACAGCCCCGCCGCCCCCCGCGGCCGCCACCACGGCCCCCGCGGCCGCCACGCCCTCCGCCGCGGCCATCCTGGTTCCGGTTGGGAGTCCCTCGGCCTCAACCGGCCAGACCCGCCTAAGTCGACCACACCAGCTAGAGAATGATCGCACTATATTATTTTTCCGTTCGTGAAAATTCAACAAATGATGAAAGTTTAAGGTCGATTAAGCAAAAGCATATGGAGATATGTTTTGGAGCTGTGGACACCATAATGCATGATGCGGATCACAACGCTCATCATCTGAGAGTGCTGAGCATTTTTCTGAACAGGCTGGCAGGTGCCTTCTCTTGCATGCACGTGGACTGCGGATTGCTTTCCAATCGTTTTTCTTATTCGTGGATTTGCAAATGCATGGTTACTATTTATTACTGGCGTTATTGCGTGCGTGGATGGGCATATGGGCGTGTATGCGTACGTATGTACACGTACGGCCATATACCCCGTGTGTACAATTCTGGCCCTACTCAGGTATTTATTTGACATGATTGATCATTTATACATTTGTAGACAGCATCGCACGACGAAATCTCCAGACACAGACACCGCTATGCATGGGCTGCGTTTGCTAGTTGCTAGCGATTGATCGGTCGGGTCGCTATGTAGCGACGGCGGACGACCAACGGAACCGCAACTAACTATAAACCGAGTAAACGCATGGGGCAATGAGTACGTAGGTAGGTAGGTAGGTAGGTAGGTAGCTGCTACTATAGCGGCAACGCAGCTTCACGCGATGAAACAGCTCCCTCGGTTCGTTACTCACATCAGTACCACCTCCAAGCCTCCGCGCCGGGCGCGAATCGCACCGCGTTGACCGTCAGCAGCAGTCTGAGGGTGCTGTATAACAACTCGTTTGTAGCTACAGCTGTACGGTGCACACACGGAGCCGCTATTGGCGGTACGCCGGTACAGCGAAAAGCCAATCATCTGGGCTAGGCTGACACCATTTTCACAATCCTCAGCTCTAACTTCAGCAGTATCCACTTCCTGGTACTTCTAGCTTCGACTTGCTTACTTTACTTGCGTCCATCCGAGCACCCACATGAAGCAAGCTGAACCTACGTACCTAGGTAGGGAGGTAGGTAGCTACAAAGTAGTGGGATACGCTGACAGCAGGGCGCGAGGGCGTCCGTCGGCGTGCAGATACTGTAACTGCGGCCTCTCTAAACATTACTCGCGCGGCTGTACTTCATCCATACAGACATACACACACACACACACACCGGCGCGTTGTCACACACGATCAAGCACTGGATAGACAAACATCAGTGGAACCAACTTCGGCATTATTACTCCCCCTCCAGTGAGTGCCCAATAGACTGATCCGCCGCCCTAACCTCTCATCCGATACCAGGTAGTCGTGCGTCCCCTCACCCGCCGATTCATCAGCCGTCCCTGCCGCCGCCACCGCCGCCGCCGCGGCGCCCTCTTATCGTCGTCGCAGCGCTCGCAACAGAAAGGCCGCCGCCGCCGCGGACAGCCGCCTCATCGCGCGTCCGCATCTGTATCCACACGTACACAGAGAGCCGTGTGCACTTCACCATCTGTTGCTGTCGCCGCCGCCGGGTCCCTTGCCGTACGCGTCCTCGCCTTGCGCCTCTCTACGTTGTTGCTGCCGCCGCCGCCGCAGCCGCCACTGCCCTCTACTTCAGGTAGTTAGGTAGATGGCCGGATGGCCGCAGATCACAGCGGCCGGTTGGACGGCAGGTGTGACAGATCTGGCAGGCCGTCCCGCTTGACGCTGAAATTGTCGCCGTAGGTCGCCCAGCGCCGCCCTCGGCCCTCCCGCGGCTCATGTGGCTGCTCCACCTGCGCGCACACGCACACGCACACGCACATGCATGCATACAGACATACGTATATGAGCCCTCGCCGCCATCCACGATGCCTTCTGCTGGCGCGTGGGATTTAGGAAAAAATATGCACCCTCATTCTAACCTCCCACGCCGCCAGGGCGGCCATACGTTCGTACACATACGTGCATGATTGAACGTATTCCGTACCGACCCTAGCGCCGCGTTTTGGTGTCGGTAGCGCCGCATAGTTGAAGTTAAAGCATTTTCATTCGTACGCTCACTCGCCCACCTCGTACTGCCAGCCCTGGCGGTTGCAGAAGGCGATGGCTTCCTCCGCAGTGTAAAACTGCAGCGCCACAGCAGCCTGGATGGATGGATGGATGATGACCAGGCAAAGGAAGTAAAAAACGAAGTGCATACGTGCGTGACGTGATGCGGTACTTGTGATAACAAATGGCCTGTACAGTGCGTGTGAACCAGTCGAAGCAGCATACGTACGCAAGCCACACACAAAAAGCAGCATATAGCATCACATCACGCTCTCTTCCGTACGGTCCGCACGTATGTCGTCGTACATGTACGACAGTCGTACATATTTACCTGGTGCTTGGTGTCTGGAGAGGATGTCCAGCCGATGAGCCGGTTCTCCCACTTGTCCGTAACATCTAGGAATTCCAGCCCCCAATGCGGAGAATTCCTGATTTGGTGGGATGGTGAAGACGATGATGGGGATGATGGGGATGATGATGATGATGATGACCACCATGACGATGGTAAGCAGTGTTTATTTCCAAGAAGGTGAAGGCAAGTAACACTCGCTTTGCATAAAAACGAGCTACCAAGGCTGACCGACAGCGCCGAGCAGGCAAGCAGGCAGGCACCTCATCGTGGGCCATGCAACGCAACGCAACGATAAGACGTAGACTTCAACGCCTATACACAACAACATCAGAGTGGCACACGTCGCGGACAGTTGCATGCATCGGTTGTTCGTCCTCGCAGAAAGTATAATAACATACATACATACGGGGGCACAAAACGGCGAAGGGCTAGAGGAACACAATGCGGCCATACGTACACATTCCCCGTGCAGGCACACAGCCACCTAGCCACACAACCACTGCCTGAAAGCTCCTCCTGCCTGTTGAAAGCTGTCCTCTGACGGCCCTGTTGTTCGGGACTGCGGGCGCTGCTGAAGACGAGGACCCTGCGCGGCGACAGCGCCACATCGCGCACGCCGCTAACCACCCCCGCGGCGCCGTGTGGCATGGGCGATGCACTGTCGGATGTAAACTGCACGGCGAAGGCGGCCGTCACGGCGCGACAGCTTTCATATGTATGTATGTATTTCTATATTCAAATTATGTATATGCTTTCAGATTGCATGTGTATTTCCGACACGATGGTGTAGTTGGTTATCACATCTGTCTCACACACAGGAGGTCCCCAGTTCGAACCTGGGTCGTGTCATTTTCATATTCTGGCACAACTGATGATGCGCGACCATTGCCCCCCGGAGATCCCGGGATTGAGATCTGTCAGGGTCAAAAATCATTCCGATGATGCAAGGTATTGCGCCCCTAGTTGATGGACGGTGGTGACGAGGGATAAAGTTAACCTGCGAGCCGACCAGGAATGGAGTTGGGCCGCTGTCGACCCGGCAGATTCCGTTGGATGATGGTGGTGGGTGCGGAACGTGAGCGATCCACTGAGAAGTTGACTAGGGTGACTGGATGAGGGTGCCCCGAAATACCGGGGAAGGCAGTGTTTCGCAAGGTAGCAGCCACGGGTGAAGATATACCCCCCTGTCCCACACATCATATGCATGATGTCAGTTAGGAGGAGGAAATGATAAACCGAGAAGACGTAATTGGCCTTGAGGACCCGAATGGTGTGAAGATTGGGGTGGATGGGTGGGTAAAGGCTGTGGTGGTACTCTGGCGACAGGAGCTCGGATGCGCTCGACGGCGTTGAGATCAACTGTGTGCCCTTCCTTGTGACGGATATATACACGAACTTGACGGTTATACATACGAACATGACGGTTATACATACGGACGAAAAAGCGGATTGGCAGGCTCCGCTTGCTTTGACCCCGTGCAGCTAGATAGGTAAGATTCTGATAGATTAGATAGTCTGGGCTGATAGTGCGGTGTTTCCTGTTCTCCGTGGCTTTTAGGCGTTTAGGTATTACCCTTGGGCCTTCGGCTCGTATGGGTAGTTTTACAGGTATGGGGTCACGCACCCCCAACCATGTAACACACACAGATAGATAGGTAGATTAGACAGATAGATAAAATTACATAGATATGTAGACTAGATAGATAGACTAGTAGACAGATGGACCTCGTGCGCCGCTACCGCACCGTCACTGCGGCTATCGAATCACGCACGTGCGGCCCCCGGCGTTTATCCCCCCGAGCATTTAACAACGATATTTTGATCGTGACCCACGGACGGCGGCCAGTACGGCTCGCATGTACAGCATGTACGGACCCCTTACGCCACGTACTTGTTGTGCCAGTCGCATCACGCGGCTGTAGTCCGGAGCCTGGTGCGAATCCAATGAAGCAGCAGGAGAGCTCCTGGCCGCCGCCGCGGCGGCTGCGGTGGCGGCGGCGGCGTTCCCCGAGGGGTAGCCACCAGGTTATTGGGGGAGGGAGGGAAGGGGCGTCCAGGGAGGGAAAGCTGCGTGAGTGCGATGAATCTGCGACCAACGCAGGAGAGACCTCGGCTAAAGGGATAAAATTTACCGTTGCTAACCAGCAAACATCTATACCGGTGCGTAACAGGACGCGGACGCTGGTCACTGAAGTAGCCTGGGGCCTGTTCGGCTGTGGGGCCCCGTAGACGGGTTGTTTGGCGCTAAGTGGCGTTGTGCTGGTGCATTTTGTTTCCAGCTCAGGGAGACTGTGATGGAGCAGTTGATGGATATATGTACCATTTCGCACTGTGCGATACGCAGCCACCAGCGCTCGCAAAGCAGGAGTCCGGGCTTCCAGGACAAGGCAAAGAATTACGTTGCATGGCTCGGAACGTATGAGAAACCATCTGCGAATGAATTTGAAGTGATCACTTGAAGGAGAGCTGGGTTCGCTCTTTGTTATTTGCTAGTCCTGTTAGCATTCTTCCGGGAAAAAGAAGGGAAGACTGAGAACTGTCCCTTGCCTGGGTGCCAACGTTTACCCTCCTATTGGCTTCCGTCACCGGAATAAAGGCGTAACGTAATTGTCGTTTGCTGTGCAGAATTAATCGGTTGCATCTTACTTGGAGGCGGAGGAGATGAGGGTGCCTTGGACCCTTCCGCCGGCGCGCCTTTGCTGCCCGCGTCACCAGTAGTGCCTTCCGTAGTAATGCTCCTATAGAGATCGAAAATATTTTGAGTCGGCCCTAATCCTATTCTAACTCCGACGCCTCCTGCGTTGGCAACCGCGAAGACCTTTCCCAGGAGGCAGCGGCCGGCCTGCCAACCAAATATTCTGCCGGCCATGAAAGGATAATGTTGCGATCCGCTAATCATAGCGCACATTTCGAACACGCTCTCAGCAGTCGGGGTTTCCTTAACCCTAACTCCAAGCGACTCAGAGATAAGCGAAGTAAACGAGCGATCGCCAACAGGATGGGGCCTAAAATTCCTTTATTGTGTCGTTGGTCGTTGCTTCTGCAATTTGGGAACTTCCAGCTGGACTAATGCCGGGGCAGGCGACCCGTGGGTCTCTATCGCAATTCCGGATGGACAAAAGCGGCATCCCGAACCACGTCATGCCCACATGCTTCATTTTACTGTTTACTTCCTACGACGCGTATGATGCGGTGTAACGGCATACACCAGAACCACACGCCATTGTAGCGCGGCGAGCGCCATGCGTACAACTCCACTTAGATGCGATTGTTACAGTGGACCCCGAACGGGTTGAGTGCAGCGCCCCTAGGAGCGCCTCCCGCACAACACTGTGGGCCTTATTCAAAAAGAACTTAGCCAGGCCGTACTAACTTCACTGGACACAAGGCCTCAGTTAGTACGCTTATACAGAAAAAATGAGGCTCCGACGTGAGCCCTCAGACTTCGTCATTGTACATTGGTAAACGGCAAACAACCATGTCTGCGTTGTTGACATTTATAAAAGGGTGGTTGTGAGGTACTTGTTCCCAACGTTTTGGTAAGTAATCCCGTGCCGCAAAAGCAGTTAAACGGGCCCAAAAGTCAGAGATAACATCGTAAGTAATGCGGTTAAGCGATGACGTTGATATAGGCATGTTGGCATTAAGACCTTCCCTAAACAACAAACGGCGACCGAGATTGAGTGAGCTGATGGCCGCGAGGCAAACAACCTCCCAGACACACGATCAAACCGAGGTCGGCGGAATGCGCAACCACAAGTTAGCCCGGTTAAACAGGTCTGGAAACTCTAGTTCGTTCTGCAGAGCCTCACGAAGAGCCAACGCGACAGTACAGTCCCAGAAATGATGCCGACGATCGCCACAAACCATGCGCACACCACAGGGACACCAAACACCAGGGACGCCTCTTTGACGTTGTGCCCTATGCATAGGAAAGGCAGGGAAGTGAACGAGGGAGGACGATGATGGCCTCCAGCGTACCCGCATCAATACTAATACAACGTCCATGGGCCCCCCGGCTTTTACGGACACACTCGCATTTGCGTGGGAACTTGTAACTTGCGGCAACCACCAGCAGCTGCTCCAAACGTAACGTACTTCGCTGCTGCTGGCGGGCTGCGATAAAACCTTCCACGCCATGCTCAAGGAAGGGGAGGGATATGTACATGGTGCAGCATACACAGTGGTGGGGCGGGAAGCGACCAGTGGGGACGGGGGGCGGTAGTGGGGTGACGGGTGCTTGCCCTCCCTGCTGCGTGCCAGGCGCCACTAGAACTTAGAAAACGAAAGCAACGGATGACGTTTCGCCTGTGTGCGGACAGCTCCCCGGTAGCCGCGAGGCACAGCCCCAAGACCGCCACACTTCCTTGACTTCAGACGTCACACTAGCTACTGCAGCAACAGACGCCTTCATTAGTGATGTTGCGGTGTATGTGTTGTGTATGTATGTGTGTGTATGTGTATGTATGTGTTGTGTATGTATGTGTGTGTACAGGTATGTGTTTTACACCTCCCAGAGTTGCGCTACTCCTTAAACGAGCGCGCCCATGCGAGCCCCTAGGAGACCCACGGGCTGTGACTGAAAGGACATTTTCACGAAAAGAAAGCTTAAAGGGTGAAAGTCAGGTATCGTCAACCGACCTGTCCGAGGTTCTGGAAACAAGGGGGAGGGGTGACTCTGGTGGTTTGGGGCTGTCCAGGCCCTGGTACAAGGCTCGCCTTCGTACATCTTCGCGCCGCTTGCTGCGGCTCATTGCGTGTTTGGCTTTTGCGAACAGCACTAATCGATTCCCCTCGATTGTAACGCCATTTACGACATCTTAAAAAAGTCATGAAGTACTGCATGGACAAACGCATCACCACATATGCCACACGTTAACAACGCCGTTGCACGACATGCACCACAACAGGAAGTGTATACCGGATCAGCGGCGGTCAGCTCGAGGCCCTGTCCGCTCATGTACAGTCGTATAAATAGACAGTAAGATTTAAATCGCACTAGACGAAAGACGCCGCGAGCAAGCGGAAGATCGCCTGGTACTGTGTACGCTGTACCCCATATCCGGCACACCCCGTGCACCGTACACCGCCGCTGGACATACAGGCGATACGTGGGTGCACCGTTGGCTACAAAGGCTGTCGAAGTGCCGTGTCCGAAAAACCTCGCCGGCCATCCCTGCTCCTCCTCTCCACCCTGACCACCACGTCTCAAAAACTCACTTCACTTCAAGCCCCCTCCGCTTTACAGCCCCCTCACACTGAACACACTCCACTGCAGAACAGCATGTTTGTCCGTAGTGGTAAGGCGATGTGAAATGCGATGCCGAGCTATACCAGGAACCCCTTAGCTAGCCATCGCAACCATACCCCTCCGACCTAATGACCCATCAATACGGCCTCAAGGGTTGTCATCATTAAAATAAAAAACAAGTAGCCCCCCTACTACAAAGAAAGGGGAGCCAAGGTGTGAGGTCTCTACCCCTGGCGTGGAGCACCACTGCACCGGAGGAGGACCTGCGAAGCAGCGAAAGTACTCCTGGGATGACGTCGCTCCTCCGTCGACCCTTTCATCGCCATCGCACCGTATTGCGCATTGCCTCCCTCCTGTCTCAGGTATTCCCTCACCCTAGCTGGTGGCTGCGACCAAATGTGGTGGAATCGGGGGACCTCACCCTCGAAGCCCGTCCGCCTGTGCTCCTCCTCAACATGAGGGGCTCCCTCCCGTGATGACTGCCTAGCGCCACGCAAGCAATGATGATTGCCTTCTCACACAGAAGCGGCCCTCTCCTCTCTCTCTCCCCTTAACAACCCACCCACACCCACACCCACACGCACCAGCAACTACTATCTACCTACCAGCCAGCCAGTTGGATGAGTCCAGATGTCCCCTTAAGAAGGCTGTCTCCTCCCCCACAACACACAAGAGCCACCGGCTCCTTGACAACCTTCGTGACCCCCTTCTCAACCTGAGCTCAAAGGGGTTAAAAGGAACTCCAAAAAGGTAGGTCCAAAAAACCCAGCGGCACAGACGCCTCTTCCACCATCATCTCCGCCCGGCTGACCTCTCCATCTCTTGGGTTACACTGAGAAACTGAGAAACTCAGCTGACCACCTCAACCTACTGGCTTTTTTCCTCCACCCTCCCTCTCCTACCTTTTACACCCCAACTCGAAAAAAACAACACCTCAAATTCTTGAGCAAGGCAGATACGCGACAGAGACCCTGCCTGGCCCTACAGCGCCGTCATGACCCGAAAATTCACGACGCAAACGATGGCTCTCATCCGGCCATAATCACCATAATTGGCCATCTTCACCATCTCATCGTATCGTATTGTCGCCACCAACACCACCACCCGTGTCACACACTGGTTTGTGCGCCAGCAGGTATACATATATATGTAATGTGTGACGGCAAGTCTAGAGTGCTACTGCTCGCCCAATTTTGCTACTGCTCATCCGTTATTAGTTGTTAGAGGCTGCATCCGCAAAGATGGATGGAAGCGGCGGAGTGTAGGCGCGCTCCCGCTCCCAAGCGATCTGCGCCGCCATGGTGATGACAGAGCGCGCATCCCTCTCGTCCAGCACGGGCCGGTAGAAGGGCACCCGGACCACCTCGGCCTCCCCTCGCCCGTTGACCTCCGTGCGGATGTACATGCCCAGATAGTCCACCCAGAGCAGCTCCGCGTACGACATCTGGATCCAGTCAGTCAAAGTCCAGTGGGGAACCCCCAGCGTCGTGGGCGAGTGAAAGCGGGGGAAGCGGGGGAAATTAAGGTGGGATAGCTGAGAGGGCCTGTCCTAGGGTTGGACGGTCAAGGGCTCGATAATGCCATAGCACGTCACCGTATAGGTTGTTAAACACGTGGTAAACACTTTTCTGCGCAATTAGGTTGGCGGTAGGTGGGTGGGGAGGTAGGTGGGAGGTAGGTTGGCGGTAGGTGGGTGGGGAGGTAGGTGGGCGGTACGCGGCATGTCATCATGAGGATGCCAGCTGGTGGGACAGAGCTGGGAGGGCGTGACGTGACGTGAAGGGAATCTGCGCTGGATGTGAGCCAGCGGATTACGGCTTCCAGGCAGGTAGGCGCCAGGTAGAGGTCCAGCTGTGGCAGAAATCGTGGCAAAAAGGCGATTGGAGAGGAGCGCCAGACAAGGGGGCAATGCGGCAATCTCGGCTCCTTGAAATCTCCCCCATACCACCCCCATACACCAACAACACCATTATTGAAGAACTGCTACCCCTCCCCGAAGCACATGCTGTCCGCCTGCCCTCCTGCATCGCCGCCACCACTTGCCGCCACACGTCCCCCCCACGATGCCAGGCGGATGGCGAGGTGGAGGGGGCCGTGGGAGGTGAAAGGGAAACATGCCACTAACCCTCCACCCCGCACCCCCCCCCTCCCCCCCCCCACACACCACACACACACACCCCGCCCCCCGCAACCCCCCCCCACCCACCTCCGTAAGCGGTACCCCCAGGTAGTCGCTGACGATCCTGTAGATGTCCTCCGCACACTCCCTGCATTTCCGAAACCGCAAGGCGGGAGTGTGCAGCACTCTGTTGTTGATAGCGCCGGCAACAACATACAAGACCCGAAAGACGTGGGCGGGCCCGTGGGCTGCTGCATCTTCCATAGCCATACATCTTTCCCACGTGGCTCCGAAACCCATTGAACAATTCTAAATATTTTTCGGCGATTAACTAACCCTATGCACATACAAATCCCGGCAACAGTAGCAACAGCAGGACCGGGCGATACATACAAACGAACATTCGATTAATTTACTTCCTAATCCCTGGGACCTATGATTCCTCCCCTTTTTCTCACTGAAAGCCATTCACGTTCCCATGAGATGGGCCCCCCACCCGGGGCCTGCCCATCATATCCGTAATTTACAGCGTTGCACTCACGACACAAATGATCAACGGGCATTCGCACGTCCTCCGCGATGTGGGCATCACACCCTCCAGTGTGTGTGTGTGTGTGTGGGCACATCCCGCTGCCAGTGACCCCTTCCATCCACCCCGGCACACCCTCGTCGATAAGACATCCACCGCGCCGCGGCGGTGGACCATACACACACACACACCCCACACACACCCCACCTCCCCCCAAACACGTCCACACGCCCACACGCCCGCACACACAAAAATTAAAGCTAAGTAAAATTAAAGCTAAGTAAAATTAAAGCTAAGTAAAATTAAAGCTAAGTAAAATTAAAGCTAAGTAAAATTAAAGCTAAGTAAAATTAAAGCTGACCACATCATGGCATGAGGGTTTCTGTCTCACCGCTGATATACCACCTATCACTCGACACCCTGTCCCCGGGCCCGGGCCTAACCCCGGGCCTAACCTCTCAGGGCCCTCACCCGTTCCAGTTGTTGACCAGCTCAGGGGCGGCCTTGCGCAACACGTCCGGCTCCGCCGCCGCGTACTCCTCGCCGCTAACCTCCTGGCCCCGGTGGGCCTGTGGCGCCGCGGGAGCGGGAGGGGGGGAGAAAGCCCGGGAGGGAAAGGGGGGGAGCGAACCGGAGGAACGGAGAGATGGGGGGAGCGTTACGTGCGAAAATGTCCGGCAAGGGTAGGGGGAGGGGAGCGCACATGCACATGTGCCGCAGTCGTCGGACAGACAAGCACGGGAAGGCAGGGGGCGGAAAGGGAAGACAGTCCTGGGGGAAATGGATGGATGGCAGATGGGGGAGAAAGAGGTGCATGAGGGGGACGCCTACCTACCTACCGAAGCATCGCGCACCGGAACCGTACAGGGTACAAAACACAGGACTTAGGGTTGAGAGCCACGCGCGCATGCACGTTGAGGCACCTGGTCAAGGCCCCCAAAGTAGAGGCAGCTTTCCACGTGCAGGGGTGCGGCCGCGGAGGGTTCTGCCGGCACCTCCAGTTTTCCCATAAGTGTCACGGCCGCGACGGCACGTGCCGGATGGGTGATGGGCTGCACCATGAGGCTGCAGGCGGTGCTGCCGCTGAGGTTGGCCATCTCAATTGCGGCGCGATCTAGGTGAACCTGCACAGCCCCCTGCTTGTCGGTGTTGAAGGTCACCGGGATGCCGACCGGATGTCCGCTAGATCCAATAGTGCAGAGCGTGCCCTCGTTGGCAATATCAACCAGAGTTCGGATGGTTTGGGCCGGCGATGGGCACTTGGCCGTGGGCCCTTTGCCATTGCTGTGTACGCCGTTGCCGTTACCGTTCAGTGAAGCTGCCGCGTTGCAAACGGTGACAGATCGAGGCCGAGCAGATGTAAAGGGCTGCGGCCTTCGCGAGGAGCCTGCCCAGAGCTGGTGATGATGCGTACGCCCTGCCTGAAGTGCCGAGCGCTGCATTCTTACACCGAAGAGCTCCCTACAGCGCGGTAAGAGATTATGTTGAACAATTTAATTACCAACTAGCCAGGCTCGAACGCAGGCACACCCTACAAAAGCCCGCAGTGGCCCAAGTTGTAGATCAAAGGATAATCGACGGATCTGCACAACAGAGTTCAATAAAGTAAAGCACTTGTAAGGTGAAAAGCCAACAACTTAGGTGATCAATAGCAAGATTTGTGAATAAGGCCCACTTGCCAATGCAGAAGCATCTATGCCTCCCCTGAGCATCAAACCCAGTAATGCAGAGAAATACAGCAATCAAGTACGCAAAATTAATGTGAAATCACGACAAGGCAACGTATTGCACCTGTAACCGTCTAAGCCATAATACCTACGTTGCATGCAGCCACAGAAGTCGACATGAAAAAAATTTCTAAAGCGCATTGCTGTGGTTTGCGGCCTTCTATGAAAGGGATACCGTTGTATCGCTGGTTTTTCAACCGTTAACGGCACCATATATGGCAACTGGCTTAGCCAGACTGGCTTTCTGGCAGGCGCGCTAACGATGTGAGGTAACGATGTGAGACATAAGAGTTGTAGTTGCCGCGGGACCGTCCCAATGCACTAATCCAGGCAGGACGTTATGACATAGGACAGCTGCAGATTTCGAAAGTTTACTGCTGAATTGCCGCCTTTAAAGTCTCACCACATTCTGAGACACAGGGAGATATGTTTGTGCCACGAAAGGTAATCTTATGTTTAAAAATTGAGCTCCAAAATTGCCGATCATGCTCCTACATTCCTAGTGGCTTGCCCGAAAGTGCTTCCCACCAGACATATGATGATATGGATACAAATACCATTCAGACAGGCTCTGAGGCGTACGCGTCTGTTTGTGCACAGGCTATAACTGGCGATGTCATGAACCATTATCACGCCGCTGCCAAGCTGCCATTATCACGCCGCTGCCAAGCTGCTGTGCTGGCTGCGCCCCCCCGCCCCTGCTGAACTGCAGCTCGCTGGCCCCGTGACCACCGTCAAGATTTGATGGTGGAAGGGACGGCGGCGCCATAGCCGTTGACGCTGTTGACGCCGCTGCCAAGCTGCTGTGCTGGCTGCACCCCCCCGCCCCTGCTGAATTGCAGCTCGCTGGCCCCGTGACCACCGTCAAGATTGATGGTGGAAGGGACGGAAGCCAAGGCTGCCGCCACCAGTGCTGGCTGTGGCGCCACTGCCCATCACCACCTGTACTACTTGCCCCACGCCTGAGGTTATACCTTGCGCACCAGCTTCCTCATTGAGCCCAACGGTAGCTGTGCCAAGGCTGCCGCCACCAGTGCTGGCTGTGGTGCTGCTGCCCATTGCAACCTGTACTATGTGCCCCACGCCTGAGGCCATCCCTTGTGTACCACTGCCCTCGTTGAGCCCGACGGTAGCTGTGCCACCAGTGCCGGCTGCGGCTGCAAGATGTTGCCCCTGCCCACCACTGTCCAACCCAGCAACCGTTGAGCTATGGAGGGGAGCACCTGACTGGGTACCACCAGGCGCCATCACAGCAGACAGCAGTATGGACCTACATTCACGGTGCATTGCCCTTTCAGACCACTCCACGAAGAACCTACTCGAGTCCTATCCACACTGAGCCCTGCTGTGTCGAGCTCACATCCACCAGCGCCATCAGGAAGGGTTTGTTGTGTGCCACATCCTATCGCTGCTGCTTCAGCCACACCACGGGCTAGCATGCCTAGTGTATCTGCAACTCGCAGCCCAGTGTGCAGATGTTCTACCCGCAACAGCTGAAGTTGCCAATCAAAGTATGACCCCTGCTGCTGTTCCTGTTGCTACATCTGCTCATTGTGCTGCCATAGTTCATGCTCGATCGTGGTACGGACCGCTGCAGTCGTCACTTGCATGAGTGTGGCACGGTTTGGTTTAAGGTCATCCAAGATGGACTGCACCCCGCCACCAATTGGAAGCCTGTGGGCTCCAGGGCCAGGCGCAAAAGGCACAGTGGTGCCACCAGCCAACCCACCATTCCTTGGAGGACTGCTCCGCACCCTGCCACCCACACTAAACGGAAGCCTGTGGGCCATCTGAGCTGCATTGAGTGTGGCATTGCAAGGATGGTGGCCGCAGGCCTACCGCTGCTGCCAAGCTGCTGTGCTGGCTGCACCCCCCCGCCCCTGCTGAACTGCAGCCTGCTGGCCCCGTGACCACCATCAAGATTGATGGTGGAAGGGATGGCGGCACCATAGCCGTTGATGCTGTTGACACCGCTGCCAAGCTGCTGTGTGTCTCTGCTTACCTCCGGTCGCTGCTTACCAGTTTAGAGTAAACGAATTTAAAAGTATATATTTGCAACATTTGCATCGTTATAACCTGCAATGAAATGTATGGGTCCCGGGATGCCGTATGTTAATACCATACGGCAATACCATACGGCATCCCGGTAATACCATACGGCATCCCGGTAATACCGTACGGCAATACCATACGGCATCCCGGTAATACCGTACGGCAATACCATACGGCATCCCGGTAATACCATACGGCATCCCGGTAATACCATACGGCATCCCGGTAATACCATACGGCAATACCATACGGCATCCCGGTAATACCATACGGCATCCCGGTAATACCATACGGCAATACCATACGACATCCCGGTAATACCATACGGCAATACCATACGACATCCCGGTAATACCATACGGCATCCCGGTAATACCATACGGCAATACCATACGGCATCCCGGTAATACCATACGGCATCCCGGTAATACCATACGGCATCCCGGTAATACCATACGGCATCCCGGTAATACCATACGGCACAATACCATACGGCATCCCGGGAATACCATACGGCATCCCGGTAATACCATACGGCATCCCATACCATACGGCATCCCGGTAATACCATACGGCATCCCGGTAATACCATACGGCAATACCATACGACATCCCGGTAATACCATACGGCAATACCATACGACATCCCGGTAATACCATACGGCATCCCGGTAATACCATACGGCGGGAATACCATACGGCATCCCGGTAATACCATACGGCATCCCGGTAATACCATACGGCAATACCATACGGCATCCCGGTAATACCATACGGCAATACCATACGACATCCCGGGAATACCATACGGCATCCCGGTAATACCATACGGCAATACCATACGGCATCCCGGTAATACCATACGGCATCCCGGTAATACCATACGGCATCCCGGTAATACCATACGGCATCCCGGTAATACCATACGGCATCCCGGTAATACCATACGGCATCCCGGGAATACCATACGGCATCCCGGGAATACCATACGGCATCCCGGGAATACCATACGGCATCCCGGGAATACCATACTGATATGGAAAGGTTCCGGACCCTTAGGGTTAACGTTTAACGGGTCCCTAAGGGTCCGGGACCTTTCCATATCAGCCCGTATTCCAGCCCCGCATGAAGCAGTTACCGAAATGGTGATGGCGTTCCAGTTAACAGAGGTTGTTGGGTCGTCAATCAATCCCAAATTAAACATAGAAGATACCTCTAAAACATAAAAGATACTTGGGTTCGTACCATGACAGCAGGCCGGGGAAGCCTTGGCGCCAGGTGCCCCGTCGTCACCGCACCACCCGTCGCTACGAAAGCTTTTCCAGACAATTTCCCGCGTGCGTGTCCCGGGGTGCCTGGGCTTTGTCCCTAAGGTAAATGCCCTTTGTTCCTTCGTTGGCTCTTGCGTGACATCGCCCGACCCCGCGGCGCCTCAATGCGCCAGGTTCGATGCCGCACACTTCTAGCCGCATCGGGAAGGGACTTCGAATGCCCTCTTCTTAGGATCTGCATTTAACCACATCTGAATTCCCTCATCAGCACCATTCCGCCTCATGGGCATCCGATGCTACGTATGGCATCATCGTATCGCAGACAGTATTTCCCTTGCGTACATACTTGTACCACTCTAGCAGGTGGATGGATGGGTGTCCAATAATCGCCTTCAATCCCAACGTAAGTTCAACTCTGTTGCATTGGTTTGGTTGGAGCCCCTAAGCCCCTAAGTATTGTCGAGATGCACCTTCCTGGAGTCGTACTGCAACCTACAAATTACGCACTGTCGAGGTCTGAAGCTGCGATGAAGCTGCTGTCAGGAGCCCCTTTCCGTACATCGGCCCTGCCTGTCACTGTGTCACATACCTGCTGTGGAACTACACCGGGGAAAGGGGCGTTGGGCCAAATGGTTCGGCGCCATGACTTCCAGGCATCTGTGTACGGCGACAAATCATGTACTACATGCCGTACATGTCCATGGGGTTAGGCAGCCTGTAATGGGAGTGTGCTGTTGGCAGCGCATTGCACTCTGGCAGGATTGCATTCGCACACATGCTTGCCGCTGTGCTGCTGCAGAGGGCATTCGGCATCTTACAAACTAAATCTCTAATCCAATTACGTTACAATGGGTAGCGCAACCTTTTCAAAATGACATGACCTCGGCTTGAGTCACCCTCGGCCAAATCGGCTATGAATATGTAGTACTGCGTGGTACCGTTGCCGTACGGACCATCATCAGAGGTAGAGGTAAGGAAGAAAGCGATTGAGAAGATTCGGTTTTAGAGGAAACCAACAACATAAAGACGTACGGGCTGTCTAAACGAACCAACGAAACACCAACCAATCACCGGTTTTAGCCAAACAACTAACGGATAATAATAATAAAGTGGATTGCGCCATGCGGCGTTTATTGCTGAGAGGAACCTCTCGCCAATGTACGAACGCGCGAATGTGTTCTGCCGTATAGCTGTCGTACCGTCTTGTTGCAGCGGACAACAGCGTGGTGCCCGACATGTGCGCAGATTGCGATCGCGAAAGGTAGGGTTTGGAAGGGAGTGGGGGGAAAGAGAATACGTGGGGAATAAAGTCAGTCTGACAGAAAGACACACAGAAAGACAGCTCTCCTCAACCCTGATTCTTGGAAGGGAACGCACATAGCCCCTCATCATGGCATTTATTCATCAACTACTGTGCAGCACATGAAGGCAAATGCATGTGCACACGAAGTAATGGATGAATGTGTTTTGTTTCATCCATCCATCCTTCCTTCCCTCCCCCCTGCTCTCACATCGTCAGAGGCTGTCATTCGTATATTTTACTTTCTGACTTGAAGCCTCAACCTTCCATGATTTTGAGAATTTCGCTGCACCCCTGCTGTACATACGATAACTTTTTCACATCCAGCAAACCCATTTCAGGATCACCTCACCTCACCTTCCTTTCCCCCCCCACCACCACCACACACACGCACGCACGCACGCACACGTCCCGCAATTCGCCCCAAGGGTGCCCCCCCCAAATCCCTTTCCGGGCCCAGAACTTCTCCGGGCTGCCTGCGCGATCACAGGTGGCGCAATCCGTGATGATAGACTAAATACATATAATAGAGAGAGGCACATTTCTCACTGACTGCGTCCGTCGGAATCAGCCCCTCCCTCTCCTCCTCCTCTCTTCATCATCCTCATCCTCACCACCACCACCATCACCAACAAGACCGCCGCCGGCTGATACCGCCAGCCAGTCCAACTCCACAAAAGATCCCAAACCAACAAGCTGGATCTGGTGCCGGAGGGCCTCCAAGCTCGTTCCCGGGCAATCGTGTACTGCAATGTACGACAGGCGCGGCCAGCGGCGGCGGCCGCCGCTGCTGCTGCTGCTGCTATTATTGCTATTCGTACTATCGCCGCCGCAGCCACTCGCCAGTTCCGGGCAGTTCTGGGACCGGTGCTCAGAGGGTGCTGCCCGCAGTTGCCGTCCGAAGACGAGGGCGAGGGCGAGGGCGAGGGCGAGGGGGAGGGGGAGGCATCTACTGGGTTTATCGAATTCTCGTGCTCTCCCGGTCCTTGTCATCATCGTGGGGGATGATACGGCCTTCACCTCCGCCGCCGTCACAGGTGCCGCCGCCGCCGCCACCGCCACCACCACTTCAGGCACGGCTGTGGGCGAGCACCGCGGTGACCGGGCCACCTGGCTGGTCGTACGGTCGCCGCCGTGTTCCGGATCCCGCATACATCCGCCAGGCACTGCCGCCGCCGCCGCCGCCGCTGCCGCTGCCGCCGCCGAGGTTGCACGAAGCGCGATGAGCAATCGGGACATAACACCACCGCCACCATCACCACTGCCGCATCTCGCTACAGCGGCGGAAGCGGAAGCGGCGGCGGCGGACGTGGCGGCACGCGTCGTAGTTCCCAGAATCCGCTGAAAGATACGCTCATCCCAACGCTCTACGCCGTACAGCCCCAACCGCCGCAACTGAGGTGTACGGCAAAACTGCGTCAACTGCTCCAGAAGGCAAAGGCTAGGGCTGCCCAGCACCTGCGTAGAGGATGGGTGCCGTACAGGTACGGAAGGACCGGTAAAGCCCGCAGTTTTTTTTACAACCACAATATGAAAAACATTTCCTGTCGGTTCTTTACGGACGGAGCATTCGTCCGTCAGGACGAGAAGAACGCAGGCGATTGTTAGATTGATTTAACAAGCTAAACTGAAGCGCTGGCGATGGGGCAATGCGGCAATGGGGGCGTTGTAATCCTAATATACACACAAGCTCATCCAGGGAGTCGTGGCGCCCCAAAAACTTTGCAGACACACACATGCTAAGCTGCTAAAACCTGTTCTGCCCCACCCACCCCCCGGGGGAGGGGGCGGTCTCGGGTTTCCGTTTTCGGAAATAAATGACAGTACGGCCCAAACACAGGGCCCGTGGGGCCCCCACCCTGCCCCCCACCCCCACCGCCGCGACCCTTGTTGTCAGGCCGCCTCCCTATACCGTACAACATAACCAACCCCCAACGCCCACGTACTTACGTCTCCCCCTTCTTTGCACAACATACATACATACATACATACATACATACATACATACATACATACATACATACACACATTCCCCCAACGCTGTCATCACTTTCTCGCGCTCCGGTCAATGGTACCCCTTGACCTCTCGCACGCATAGCTCTTTCTCCACCGCACTTTATTATTTCCCGTTTCCCATTATTTAGCCCAACACCCCACCCCCCTCCCACCTCATACACATACACACACACACACACACCTCCAAACACTCCAAGCTCCGAAGATGCACCCCACGCGGCAGGAGGCCCTGGCCCAGCCCGCCGAGGCAGCTCGAGGCGGTGTGTTGTCTTGTCGCCAGCGTGTATCTCCACCCCCCGGGGCCCCAACCCCACCCCCTGGCGCCCCAGCCCCAGCCGAAGAGCTGCGTGTCGCAGTCACGGAAGGTCAGTCGCCTCAGGCGGGTGAGCGGTTGGGCGGCGGCCAGCAGCGCGGGGAGCTACGGCACCGCGGGGGGCCCGATAGAGGCGATATGCGGAGCAGGAATCCGTATGGGGCGGGGAACGTTACGTCGGGAGGGAAGATTATGGATTATTTATTAATAAATAAAATATTTTAAATATGAAATAATTATAAAAAATTCAATTGAAATGGAATAAATTAAAATATGTAATAAAATACATATTATTAATTAATATAATTAAATTATTAATAGCACAAATGTTTTATTTAGGAAAAGGATAATTTTATGAATTTACCGGGCTGTACGGGATGATTTGAGGGCTTATGTATGGTGAGGTAAATCTGGAAGTTGAAATTCTGACTTTAGGGGTTTAGGCAGCTACAGGGATCATTTAGTGATACGGCGCCCTTCGTACACTGTCGTACCGTACGGTGCCATTTACCTGGTTGCCAGGAAGTCGCCAAGCGGTGAACTGCAGGTGCTCCAGAGCGACCAACTCTCCCAGCAATGCCGTGTCAGGTAGCGGGGACCGGCCCGTGGACTGTACGGCTGGGCCCAGCAAGATTGCCGCCGGCTCCTGCTGGACGAGCTCCAGGGAACGTAGCCCGTAGCGCAGCTGTGGCAGCGGCGGCGGCGGCGGCGGCGGCTCGGCAACCTGTGGTTGGCCGCCTG